CAATCTCATCTGGTGCCCAGACCTGAGGCTTTGCTTTTCAACCTGCATGATCACTCCTCTATTGTTCCTCATCCAGGGAGTTTCTAGCACCCACTGCCACTCGCTGGGTGAACCTTGACAGCAAGACTATGGAACGCACCTTGAAGGGCATCAAGACCCCTCACCGCTACGTGATGGACGATGCTGAGATGCACATCTACATGCTGATGAAAAAGGTCCTGAAGCTACCAGACAATCAGGGAGAGAAGTAGCACTTTGATTCTGTGTGTGTGCATGTGCGTGTGCGTGTGCTACTCATCTCAAGGCCCGACTGACCAGACCAGCAGCAAGAGCAGACTGATGCTGCTTCTTCTGCTCTTGGGCTGGAGAATCTCTCTAAATTGCTCCCTCTCTGCCACCAGGACTCCTACCCACGCTTTCTGAAGTCTGAACTTTACAAGAAGCTGCTTGCTGAGGCCCTTGTGCCACAAGAGACCAAGAAGCGGTGAGTGGGTCAACCTTGGAGGAAGCTCTCCTAGACAGGGAGTCGAGATCCATTGCTGATGGACCCGTTTTGCCTCCTGGCAGGGCATTCCCATTCATGCGGAAGCAGCCACGACACTCTGGCACAAGCCCTGCCTGTCCAACCCCTCCTGGGGCCCATGAAGTGAGACCTGAAGAGGAGAGCCAGGCGGGGCCCCAGGAGCAAGGGTAAGGGGAATCCTTCCCCTCACCCAAAACACTTGTTTCCTGGATGCTGCAGGCCTCTCGCCCCCACCCCAGCAGGCATCAAGATGTAGGCCTCTCCCTGACTCACCTGGACAAGACCGCCGCTAGCTATTCTCCCCCTTTTCTGGCTTAGCCTTCAGTGCAGCCAAGCCTCTGCCCTCTTTGAGCAAGGCTGGCAGCACTCCTGCCTCTTCCATGGAATATCCCATCCACAATAAAGTGCCCTTGTTGACCCAGGCTGCTGTCATCTCACTGGGTATGGGGGGCCAGTCTAGCATCAGCAATACCCTCCCCCGAATCTATCTGGTATGTGTGTGTGGCTCATTCATGTGCTGCTTCTCAGTATGACCAACAGACCTGCTTTTGTCGATTCTGCCCAGCTAGCTCCTACTCGGCTATTAGTTAAGAGCACCTAGTGGAGCAGCATGCCCAATGCTGGTATGCAGGGGACCTCCACAGCTTTGGTGGCTAATTTGCCTAGCATTATGCAAGGCCGGATGAGCTGGAGGAGATAATGCCCTTCTGTACTCCTCTGTACTTAAGCAGATTAGCTGAGCAGCCTGTTTTCCCAGCTTCCAAATGGCTGCCAGAATGCTACCCTCACAGGCTTTATCCCAGGCCAAAGGCAACCTGGACTGATGCTGAAACAAACAGTGACCACTTTCTGCACCTCTTTGAGGAAGATCCACCCAAGTCACCTTGCAGATGGTCCTATCTAGGATTCTGTGAATGCATTGAAATATTCAGACAATTTCATAGTTGTTGTTCCTGCATAAGCAGGGAGACCAGGCTGAATAGAATCAAGGTGGAGTGCTGGGAGTTGTGTATTCCTTAGGGGTTTAATTGAATTGAATTCTTTATTGCCATTGTACATGTATACACAGTATACATACGATGAAATTCACATAACACCCAGAGACCAGACCAAACACACACCCCCACCCGCCAAAATTCCCCAGCCCCTAAAAGCACACAAGCATCCACACAACAGACCAAGTAATAGTGTCCCACAGCTCACTGATGGTGGTCCTTAGTTCATTAAGTGCCATTATAGCTCTAGGATAAAAACTGTTCAGAAAATGTGTGGTCTAAGTTTTAATTGTTCTGTATCTTCTGCCAGAAGGCAACAGTTCATAAAGATTGTAAGCAGGATGGGAAGAGTCTCTGAGAATGTTGTGCAACTTCCTCAAACAGCGAGATGTGAAGATGTCGTCCAGGGCTGATAGCTGGAGCCTGATGATATTCTGGGCAGTTTTAATGATTCTCTGTAGAGCCTTTTTTGTCCGCTACAGAGCTGCTCCCATCCCATGCAATGATGCTGTAAGTCAGGACACTCTCACTGTGTTGCGTTAGGACAGAAGTAGATGCTGAGATAGATTTATCTTCTGAGCATTCTCAGAAGTACAGCCTCTTCTGTGCCTTCTTCACAAGCATGTTAGCATTCACAGTCCTCCAAGATATAAGTGCCTAGAAATTTAAAACTACCACCCCTCTCCACCTCCTCACCATTTATGTACAATGGTAAATGCACATCTCTTCCTCCTGAAGTCAATGATAAGTTTTTCATTTTTTTTTTGGTATTAAGTGTAAGATTATTTTCTTTACACCACAGTGTCAGCCCTTGTACTTCCTTTCTATAAGCAGACTCATTGTTCTTATTAATGAGCCCCAACACTGTCGTGTCATTTGCAAATTTGATAACTGCGTTGGTGTTATACAATGGGGTGTATTCATCTGTGTACAAAGAATAAAGGAAGGGGCTTAGTAGATAACCCTGGGGGGCTCCTGTGCTTAGTATCAGAGTAGAAGAATGTGGAGATCCCATCCTTACTGACAACCTGTTGGGTAGAATGGTGTTAAAGGCAGAACGATAATCCACAAGTACAGCCTTGTATATGTTCCCTGTTGTTCCAAATGATTCAATATAGACAACAATAGACGTAGCATCATCAGATCTGTTACTCTTATATGCAAATTGGCATAGGTCCAAAGTAGATGGAAGACTAGCCTCAGTGTAGTTCAACACCAGTCTCTCAAAACATTTCATGGCAACAGATGTTACAGCTACTGGTCTATAATCATTAAGAGACACCACTACTGTCTGCTTAGGGCCTAGCACTATAATAGGATGTCTTCAGGCAGGTAGGGATAGAGCACTGCTATAGGGATAGATTGAAAATGTCCGTGAACTCCAGCTAACTCTGCAGCGCAGTCCCCAACAACTCGCCCATCTGGCCCAGCTGCCTTCCGGGTGTTAATATTCTGGAAAGCACATCTCACATCAGAAATCTGCAGGTAGTTGTCAATTGATAGTAGATGTTAGTGGTGTACTATCAGTGGTAGATGCTAAAATGATAGTCATTCCTGTTTCCATCTCAAAATGGCTGAAGAATTGATTTAGCTGCTCAGCCAAAGAATCACAACTGCTAGACAAACTATTTTTGTTACTCTGCCCTATAATTTGTCAGAGACCTTGCCATACCCAATGAGAGTCTGAACTCCCAAATTAATGTTCAATCCTCCATCTGAATGTAGCTTTAGCATCCCTGATGTCCTTTTTCAATTTAGCTCTTGCCTCACTGTACTGTAGCACATCACCAGAATGGAAAGCAGCATTTCCAGCTCTTTAATAAAAGACACAAGTCTCTATTTATCCAGGGCTTGTTGTTAGAAAACACCTGTACTTGTCTGGTGGTAGTGACAACATCAATGTAGCTTTTGATATAAAATAGTACTGTTGAGGTGTAACTATCAATATTGTCATCCTCAAACAGTGTCCATTCAGTGCTGCTAAAGCAATCTCGAAGTTGCTCAGATGCACCCACTGGCCACACTTGTATTTCTCTAATTGATGGTCCGGTTCTGTTGTGACAAGAGGTCTGTATGATGGAATCAAGAACAGAGATATATGATCTGATTGTTCCAGATGGGGTAAAGGCATAGTCCTGTATCCATGCAAGAGGTTACTATATACCTGATTAAGTGGGTGGGCTTCCTCCAAAGGTTAAATTCTGCAAGGAGGCCTATACCCTACACACTTGGAATATCTTCACCATGAATCTGCCAAAAATAAGCAGAACTGGCCATTACGGTAAAACCTGGATTTATACACCAACAAACCCAATGTGAGAACATTTCCCTCTAGAAAAAAACAACTAATACAAGAAAGTCTTTCTCCTGCTCTTAAACTGCAGCTTTGAAGCTAGGTGCATATTTTTGGGAAACTGAGTCAGATTTCTCAGGATAGAGATGTTGGCTACATTAACCGCCTTTGCCCAACTTAAGGCCAAAGAGCACTTGCAAGTAGCAAGGGGAAGGCCAGATGGAGGCTAAGTGAGTTAAATTGTGAGCCTGGTTTCCCCCTTCAGCTCAATTGGCTTCAGTGGCTTCAAGCAGGGAAGGAGCCTCCACAGGGGATCTCCACAGATATGCATTAGAGCAGCTTCTTGGCTGGCAACAGCTCTACTTGCTGACATGATTAAATGGCCTTCCCTAGTAAATAATTGTGAGAGGCTAGTTTTAGCCTGAAGCCATGAGAGGCAGGGGAATAAATCAAGAGCAGAGCCTAAGAAGGAAGCTGGGAATGCTTAAGCTGCTTCCCCATCAGAAAAGATTATGCTGGGGTTGAATTAAGTCAAAGCTCCCCTGCCCACCCAAAAGTTATGAAAGCAAAACAGCATCTCTTGCAACCAGCAGCAGCAGCAGCAGCAGCAGCAGCAGCAGCAGCAGCAGCAGCAGCAGCAGCAGCAGCAG